CAGGCTAGATCCAGGCGCAGGTTACTGGGCCCAACCTGGACTGTTTGTGTTGGCGGGAGCGGCCCGGCAGGCTGGCTGGGTTTACTCAGGTGAGCGTCCTGTTGTGCTGTTTTGCAGCTCGCCCGTGCTTCGTGGGGGAGTGGAGCCCCTGGAGTGGCTGTGCGGACCAGTGCAAGCCCACCACCCGCGTGCGGAGGCGCTCGGTGCAGCAGGAGCCGCAGAACGGCGGGGCGCCCTGCCCGCCCCTGGAAGAGCGAGCCGGCTGCCTGGAGTACTCCACGCTGCAGGGCCAGGACTGCGGGCGTGCCTTCGGTACTGACACCTCACGGTTGCTGCTTTTGTCTTTGATGGCTTTTTGGCCACGGCATCCATGTGCTGTGTGGGGAAAGTTCCATGCGCTGCAGGGAGTGGGATGGGCCAGTCTGCCCACAGTAGATAGGAAGCTCAGGAAATGCTTAATAAAGGGATTATGTCCAGCTGCACAAATGCCTCCCTCTCCCCGCTTCCCTCAGTGTGTTTTATAGACTGATGGTGCATGGACTCGGTACGGAAACAAACCACATGCGTGTAGGTTTTAGTGAACTCAGTCCAGCTGGTGCTAAGGGCTTCAGATAGGATGCTATCTGATATTTCACACAGGGCAGTAAGTGTTCAGTAGAGATAACTCTATTCATCTGCCGCTGCAATTCCTGTTTAATCATGCACACTCGCACGTGTGAAAATAGAAGAAAATGGTAAATTTCTAAACAATGATAAAAGTGATCTGTTAAACGCCCACCTCTCCCCTCAAGCTGACTGGATTTGGGCTGACATGATCAGATTTGAGATTTGAAAAGATCATTCTGGTTGTAGAGTGGCCAGTGAACTGGGAGCCAGATGAAGCTTCCAAAGAAACAAACAAAAAAGCTGATGTGTTGATCTGAATTGAATCCAACAGGGCAAAACACTGACTTCTCAGGATAGCGAAGACCGTACGTTTTCATAGGAACATAAACAATTTCATGTCAACACGGTCCTCATCAAGTCATTTCGTTCCTTCTTCTATTCCACACGCAAATATTTATTGAGAGTCTGCTTGATGCCAGGTGCTGGGCTGGGTGCCAGGGTAGCAATGGTGACAACAGTTGATGCCTGCTGCCATGCAGGTCACAGCCCAGTGGGAGGAAGTGCGACAATCAGATAATACCAGGAAATTAATCCCAGAAATTCACAGCTGCGGTAATTGGTGCAACTGGTAGTGAGAGGTGCATGAGCTCTGAGCAGGTGTAACGAGGTGATTCCCCTTGGTCTTGGGGGAGGAAGGGGCGGGGGCCTCCCTGGAGATGGGGCTGAGATATGTAGAGCTGCTCATTGGACAGACCAGTGTGGCCAGACCTGATGGTCAGACCTAATGGTAGGGCGTAGGGGCTTTGAGGGCTGATCAAGGGAAGAGGCAGTAACACAGCAAGCTTTATTGGGCGAGGACAGGGCTGCATGAGAGGGGAGGTCCTCATAGCCACAAGGCTGTCCAGGGCTTATGGTGGTCCAGGGACTGGGGGAACCATCCAGAAGGGGAGGGCGCTCAGGAACTCCTGAGGGATTGGGGGATTGGAGAGGGGTTTTAAGTGTCAAGGTGACATCATCCAGCAGCACAGTGGGGAGTCTCTGGGTCCACTCTGAGGGACAGTAGCAGCTTGGGGTCTTATAACAAGGCTCTAGCCTATCAACGGGCAGCAAATGCTGGGTATAGTTTCATGGGTGTGCAAAACAGGCAGGCCCTAAATGGCTAAAAATCTGCTTGTTTGGTTATTTTTAAAACAGCTGGAGGTGTAACAATTTGAGTTTGGTGCCGGCAGGCTTTTGAGCTCAGGGGTCTCAGCATTGCAGCGAGGGGCTGTTTATATAACACAGGGGAGGCACAGGCCCAGACGAGAATCCGAAGGAAGGCCAGCGTGAGGGGAGCACAGAGACACCCTGTTTAGGATTCTGGTCTTTATCTTAAGAGCCCTGGAAATTCACTGAGGTGTGTTCTGCAGGGGCCGATGTAATCAGATGTGTGGTTTGAAAAGATTGTTCCAGTAGTGGACCGGCGAATGGCGGGTGGGATGGAACCTGCTCACTGACACGCGGTCATGTTCTGCTCACAGGGAAATCACGTGGAGCTTGGGACGTGGCAGCTCACAGAAGCAGTCATAGAATAGAGTCGCGTTCAGCTCATGCTCTTGGCAGAAACGCAACAGGAACAACTCAGGGAGGAAGATGCTGTATGGCATTATTGATTTCTTTTTTTTTTTGGTGGCTCTTAAAAGCTAGAGCCGACCTGTCAGGAAAAGCAGCCGGTCTGCTTATTTGCCATGTTTGGCGGCTAGAAAGGGCACATTAGGCTCTGGGGATTAGGACATGGACATCTGTGAGGGGCCGTTTCTCTGCCTACCACAGAGGTGGGACCAGGTCCTTATCCTTGGTTTACACATGAGGACTTTGGAGTTCTGAGAGGTGACGGCACGTCACGTGTGAAGGCCCACTGGAACCTAAATCTGGACCTCATGGCTCTAAGTCCTGTGGGAATCTCCCCTCCAATATTGTTTTGCTGTTAAATGTCATCATTAGAGCTAAAATCGTGATTACAGATTCTTGTAACAAAGTAGAAATGTAAGGGCCCTGTGAAGCCGGTGAATGAAACATGATCCCTAAAGCTCTCTAATTAATGATCAAGTAGCCCATTCCTTTTTCCTGTTGCATTTAATGTACGAGGGCTGCTGGAAAGTATTCAGCCATTGTTAATATAACAAGAACATATGACGTGTCTGGATACTTTCCCGACAGCCCTTGTATATTGTGATTATATTTTAATCATAAAAAATCAAATCAAAAAAGTCACATTATCGAATTTGTTGCACATTACTGGTAGTTCTTCACGTGTGTTTTCTTCCTAAAAGGAGATCAATTTACCTCATTATAGACTGTATGCTTCCAGGTAGGTGTTAATTGTCAATTTTTCATTTTATTCTCTTCTGCACTGTCTATAGACCAGTGACCCTAAGCCTGCTTTTGTGACGCCCCATTGTGTCAGAGGGCGTTATGAAATTCTCAAAGCAAATTTGATTTACTTTCATGTTCAAAGTAAGTATGCGCAGTGCCACGCTCTTAGAAGTGAAAGTTGTTGTAAAACCGGACAATGGCAGCTGATAGAACGCCAGGAAAGTTGGCAAATCACCCGAGAACAGAGACTGTACTACGTTTGAATACTGTGGCCAGGAAAGGGGAAGGAAGGGGAGCTAACGTTTATTGGGAGCCTTTGTCCCAGGGCACCTGGTTACGTGCTTCCACACAAAAGCGTAAGTGGAGCTGAAGGCAAAAATAATTTCTAAATTATTTACCACTCTAAAGTGATGAAAATCGAATTTGTGGGCAGTAGTAAAAAGTGATGCTGGTTCGGGGACCTCCAGGGGATCTGGCTTCTGGTCTGTTTACTGAAGGCTCCTGGTCTCCTGGGAGGGGGAAGGAGCCCTGGAGATAGAATGTGTCACCAAACCAAGCCGACGACGCGGCCGAGACAGGCCCTGGGTAACTGGCTTGCTTTTATGATGCACCGCAATCCCAGGAGCATGAAACTGAACACGACAGTTAAGTCTTAAAAAAAAGGAAGATCTCCTCTGTGTTGGGGCCCTTGCTTAGTTGTTTTATTTATTTTCCCTTCATCTAACCTCTATAAGCCTCAGTTTTCTGATGAATAAAATCGGTATAATACCACTTTACAAAGTTTTTGTGAGGATTGGTAACATACGATGTGAAATTACTTTGCAAATGAGCAGGCAGTAAAATACAAGGGCCATCACAGGAAACGGGGTTACTCCACCCACTGTGTGCCCGCCCCCACCCCACCCTGACTCCCCCCTACGCCCGGCTTGAGGGGACTCTGAGTACAGTGGGCTAAAAATGTCTCCTTTTCTTTCTTACGTGTGACTACACATAGAGGATAGTGATTAGAGACGGAAAGGGAAAATAAAGCAGAATTTAAATAATTCATGGGAAATGTGCCACATAAAATAGTGGAACTTAGGCCGGGCACGGTGGCTAATGCCTGTAATCCCAGCACTTTGGGAGGCCGAGGCGGGCGGATTGTTTGAGCTCAGGAGTTCGAGACCAGCCTGAGCAAGAGCGAGACACCGTCTCTACTAAAAATAGAAAGAAATTAATCGGACAACTAAAAATATATAGAAAAAATTAGCCGGGCATGGTGGCGCATGCCTGTAGTCCCAGCTACTCAGGAGGCTGAGGCAGGAGGATTGCTTGAGTCCAGGAGTTTGAGGTTGCTGTGAGCTAGGCTGACGCCACGGCACTCACTCTAGCCTTTTTGACTCTGTCTCAAAAAAAAAAAAAAATAGTGGAACTTTGTAATCTGCATCCCAGAGGCAGCTGAATGCGGTACTGAAGAGCATGGTTTGGGAGATGTTGCCTGGCTCTGCCATATTTAGATGTGAGCCTTAAATACATAACCTCTCCGTGCCACGATTTTCTCATCTGTGAAATGGGGAATCTATCTCAGAGGGCTGTGAGAATCAAATGAATTAATACATAAAAAGTGACTTAAAGTTGCACCTGGAAATTTAGAAGTGCATAATTGTTAGCTGTTAATTTTATTATTACGGAATGTTTTATAAGAAGTTTATATCAGAAACTAGAGGTGTATATTTGTATTTTCCTTCCACTACTTAACCTCATTTTTTTTCTGAGCTGTACCTTAAGTACCTCACCTTTGACCTTTTGTAATGATATATGCAGTTGCGGTACAAATTAAGAGATTACATAAATGTTTTGAGCTAAAGAAACATATCCTCAAAATGAGATAGTCTGGCTTGTATAATGCTGCATGGATTTAGCACTAAATTTATTCTTCATTTAGTGAATAAATACAAGTGTCTGAAAAACAGACAGGAAAACAATATGTGGGAAAACTAAAAACCCCTTAGATGTTTGTGTTTTTGATAATTAGATCTGAGAGAATCAGAGAAGGGTCCTAACATACATGCACTCACTTGTTCTTTTTAATTCTGTGTGTGGGTTTTAGAAATGCAAAAGCTATGGTCGCGTTTAGAAAGTGTGATGTGCTCTCTTTGGAAAACAATTAAACATGTCAGTGCAACAAGAACGATCCACACAAGCTGGGGCTCTAGGGTTCAGTCTGGATGTGTATAATTTTCATATTGGAAAGATTAGGCACCGAACCACAGGAGACAAGAACTGTACCTGCAACTCTTGGGAGCAAGTGACTACCTGGTATGAGGCTGCTCTTGTCTTAAATTCCCTAGTAGTATAAAAATGACTCCTCATTAAGAAAATCTAAAAAAAATTAAGGCCTGTCATCTTGGGACAGTATGGAGTCAGGTAAAACCATCCTGTAGGCTTGAAGCATCTATTTCATATCCATTTTGGAACCTCTACCCTCATGCCACTGAGCTCGTGTTGATGATGACTTTGGCATCTCATAAGTCAATGTCATCTTGTATCTATCCTTCCTGGGATCATCCAGTTTGTAAAACAAAAGGTAGGAAGGACCGTTGAGCCATCTCAGCCACCAGGCTCAGTATAGGAACAGAAGACCATAGGGAAGTAGGACCTGTGCATTTTGGTGGCAGGCCGTGACCTCATTCATTCCGTCCTTGGCCCGTTCATTCACTGCACAGATTTTTATTGGGCGTGTAAATGTGTGAAATGTATAGTGATTAACAAGGCATAGCCCTGCCTCCCTCGAGTTGACAGCAGACTGGAGTCAAGAAGTTACCTCTAGGTGCTGCTATATAGCAGCAAACGCCTCCCAGACTTAGTGATGAGATAGGAAGAAGACACAGCAACAAAATAACATTAAAGACAGCAGAGGCTGGAGGAAGGATTCCTGGCTCCTTTTTTTTACTCCAACCCAGAGTATCAGAGTTAGGGTCAGGTTGGGAGCATGAGAGGGAGAAGAAGGTGACCACTGTCGACTTTCTGTGAACTTGTGCAGGGAAGGCTCTGCCTCCTGGCACTGGGCACTCAGGCCAGGTGTTATCCAGGGGGCGGAGACTTGGGGAGGACTCACACTTCCTTGCTCCTGTGCTACTGCTCTTCTTCCTCATTTCCTCTCTCTCTCCAGTCATTTGTTTTCTCTCCTTCCATCCCCCTTTCTGTCTTTTGTCTTTCTCTCCTTTCTTCCTTCTCTTTCCTTTCTATTCTTTTACTTTATTCTTATCTTTCTCTTTTCTTCTTTATTTCTCTTCCTTTCATTATAAAAACATCCTTTTCTCTGCATGGCCCCTATTACCTCACTTGCCCCCCGCCCCCCACCTCCAATGCCCCTATCTTTTTATTTCTTCCTGGTTTTCCTTCTCCTTCCTCTCACACAGTTTTTTTTTTGTACTGCAGACAAATGTGTTCGTCAAAGGCCTGCAGTTCCCCTCTCTATCCACCTACAGGCACACAAATCTTCATGGAGTTTGGTTCTGGGGATGCTAACATTTAGCGTTGTTTCACTGCCATAGACCTGTAGATTTAGAAGGGGACCTTTAGGCAGATAGGAAACCAAGGCTGGGAAACCCTCTGAGTACTTTGGCAACATGCATTCAACGTAATTCTCCCTTCTCTAGTACCTGCCTTTATAACTACCTCTGCATTCAACAAGGAGAGAACGAGACCAGCTGCATCTCCACAGTGGGCCACACACACAGAGGATGCCGGGTAATTTTTTTTTTATGTTTTTTCAGTTGTGTAGTCTAGTCTATCCAATAGGATCAACTTGGTTTGATTATGTTTTCTTCTGTTACTTGTTCTTTGACTTTGGATAAAACTTGATTCTTGAGCACAGAGTTGGGAAAGTACTTGTCCTCTCGCTGTTTTTGTGGGGCTATAAAGATTTATTTGCCTCTGAGGTCAGAGCTCCAAGAAAAAACAAACTGCATAAAAATGAGATGATATTATTTTTTCAATCATGCTAAGGATGCTCGTCTTATAGTCTTTATGCATCCGTAGACTCAAGCACCACCTCTGCTTGGTGAATTTGAAGGTGGCCTCAGGGAATTTCTTATCGAAACCTAATGGCACAGGATGGAGGCCCCTCCATGTTCACTGAAGTCCACTCTCCTGACGAGATAAGGGACACCAGATGGCTGCGCGTTCAGATCCCCACACTGCCTCTCACCAGCCATGAGGCCTTGGATAAGTTGTTCCACCTCAGTTTTTTCTTCTTAAATAATGAGACTATTTATTAATACCTACCACATGGGATTGGTATGAGCATTTGATGCGAAAATAGCATTGAAGAGATGTCTGGGTCACACCGTCTGATTGAAGTTGATTGAGGCTGCATTGTAGAATTTCCTACCTCAATAACTAAAAGTACTAGTTATCTTTAGTTACTGCCATTGTTAAAGATCTTTGCAGCAGACTCTCCAAACAGTTTCCATTTAACCTATTACAACTCTTAATTCTATGGATAAGGAATTAGCCCATTAAACTGAAAATGCAAGTTTCTTCTACAGCACTCAGGGTTTTTACTATGTTTTGTTTCCTTGAAAAATTGGAAAATTGTGTTGCTTTGAAGTACAAGATTCTAAAACATTCGAGCGTTCTCCCCTGGGGCCTTCAGAGTCTAGTCACATATAGTGTTAGCATTTCTACAGCTCAGTGTAAGGTGACACTAATCTCCGTCACAGAAAAACATGTCTCAGCTTCCCATTTCTGCTTTCATCTTAGATGTCCAATATCTCTTTGATGCTTGACTTCATGCCAAAACTCATCCTCATTACCCCGATCATGCAGGTGAGCTGGATGGGGAGTCTAGGGAAGGCCCCTGGGAACCTCTGTGGGGCAGAACAGCACGGGCGCTACGCTGCGTGTCAAGGATTGGCCCTTCTGGGCTCACATTTAAGAGTCGTCAGGTTGAAGCAAGTGTGTATTCAATTTATATAATTCTTTAAAACACCAGGGGCTAGTTTTCTACTAAAACGTGGACTCCCATACACAATTTAATGGTTCGATTAGACAGGATACAGGATGTCCAAGCTTCTGCAAATTTGTGTTGACCATATAGTTCAATCGTGGATTGAAAAAGAACAAAAAGGTTCTTTGTGGCTGTCAGTCATACGTCATCATGGCTCAGCAAACGAGAAACTTTAAAGGCGCTCCGTGATTGGCGCGGAAGTTGTGACGATGCACTGGCTACCTGCTCCCGTCTGCCACGCGCCCTTGGAGACGGCAGGCTTCCTGAGACTTTGCACAGCTTTGGTCCACCTCTAACTACAGCATGTGCGATTGTCGCTTCCTTTGCTCTAGTTACTGTATGGAGTTCAAGACAGAGTCCCTGACTCCTCACTGTGCTCTGGAAAACCGACCTTTGACCCGATGGATGCAGTATCTCCGGGAGGGATACACAGTGTGTGTAGACTGCCAGCCGCCAGCTATGAACGCCGCGAGCCTTCGTTGTTCCGGAGACGGCCTGGACTCTGACGGGTAAGGGGGAGAAACTGGCTGAAGCACTTTGCTTGTTCCTCACTCCGAGACATCTGTCCTATCCATGTCCCAGACAGCTGGCCGGTATGTAAAATATCAAAGGGTCAAAATAGTAAGTGAGGAGCCATCTGTCCGGCAATCCCAGAGTCCAGGACGCCAGTGTCCCCTGTGGAACTCAGAGGACATACACCAGCAATAAATGGGTCAGTTTTGTTATTGGGGTTTACCAAGCTTCTAAATGACCACCAAAAACTTGGTCGCTCCAAAGCAGTGTTCTGAAGACCACTAGAATCAGAACCTCTTGGGATGGAGATTTAAAATATGCAGATTCCCAAGCCCCACTTCACACCAACTGAATTAGACTCTTGGAAGATAGATTTT